GTGTGTGTGTTTCCCCTCCCTTACCTATCTGCATGTGTTTCCATGCGTCCTGTGTTTTTTTTCTAAACAAAAAAAACACCAAACCCCACCAAAAGGGACTGCAGAACTCTGAAGAGAACGCCAGGATCTCCATCACCTTCTTCCGGCTGTTCCGCGTGATGAGGCTGGTGAAGCTGCTGTCTCGCGGGGAAGGGATTCGGACCCTGCTGTGGACCTTCATCAAATCCTTCCAAGTGAGGGGAGAACCGGACACAACATGCTAGAGCAGGGGGTTGGGTTTACACAGGACAGAAGTGGTGCACAAACAGTGGAGTTTAACCCAAATGTGACCCAGATTGCACTAAACATCTATTTGAACACTCTCCCTTTTCAAGTTTTAAGACTTGATGTAGCGACTTTGAGGTTTGTTTGCCGGTTGTAGGTGTTAAAATTTAATACCTTTTACAAGGACTCATATAGACGCATTTATTATTTATGAATAATATAGTGCAGTAATTTCAGATCTGAGACACATGGGGCTAAAAAGGTTCTTGTTCTTGTGTAAATCCAGCCGAGTCGAGTCTCACAAGCCACCTTTCCTTTCCTTGCCTCATCCCTCCTCGTGTCCACGTCTTACTCGTGCAGGAAGTCAGGGAGATGGGGAAGGAGGTTCAAAAAGGAAGAAATCAGAAAGAATGAGGGATGACGTGAGGCAACGGAAAGGAGGTTTAGGAGTCTCGTTGCAGAAGCAGGGAGGAAAGTAGGGACGTGAAATTGGGAAACAGGGAGAAACATCTTAACCAGCAATCTTTTTCTCTCCTGCTCTCCCCTATTTTTTTCTTCTCATCTCTTCTCCTTCTATTCTCTCAAACACCCTACACCCTATTACTAACCCTCGAGAGCTCACCATTCCCCCTGTAGGCCAGTAGTTAAGCGCTAGATAAGTTTAAATGAAGCACTCCACCAAAAAAATGAAATCATTTGATTGTTTGAGAGTTGTGGGGAAATGAAAATAATCTGCTCTCTCTCTTGTGTTAACTGAGACGGGTCACTTCATGTTGCAGTCGAGGAAATTCAAAACACTGTTAATACAGCGAAAAACCGGACTCATGTTAAGTTTAAAATCATGAATACGTTCTTGTACTTAACATGGATAGTTTTTTAGTTTGCTGTTTCCGTTTTTAATCAAACTTTTTGTGCTCTGTTCATCATGATGTGGCCCTGCTCTTCCAGTCACAGGGGTAATATTAGCCTGGAGCTCAGTTCTAAACAGTTGTGTGTAAATCTAGAAGAAATATCTGTTCTAGCTGTGTTTGGTTCTTGTACAATATGTTGGAAATGGTCTCCCAGCTAAACCAAGAGAGCAGTTTGTATTTTACTGAGATTTTTTTTTTCGCTCCGAAGTCAGATGATTTGTCCTGGGTTGTTTTTGGTGTTGTGCCGCGCAGGACTGCTGATCTGTTCACTTTCACTTCATGAAGTGCCAAGAAAAGAAATTGCTCGTTTAAAAAAAAAATTAAAAAAGAGCAAGTGAGGTTGAAAGTTTTTATCAACAGTCTCCTGAAACATAAGTAGAGTAATTAGCTGTGTGAGGTTTGAATGAAAGTGAATGGACTCCAGCCTCGGTGCAGTAAAACGCTGCAGCCGACTTGCCACTGACGTGTGTCTCCTCTCTTCAGGCTCTGCCCTACGTAGCTCTGCTTATAGTGATGCTGTTCTTCATATACGCTGTCATCGGCATGCAGGTAAGCTGACGTCTTGTCCCCCCAGCTCCCTCCGTCTGTCTCCTTGTCCTCTCTCTCCTTCTCTCCTTCAGCAAGCCTTCGTCCCGTGTCTGTCCTTCCTGGAGTCTTGTCATCGAGAGTTCCCGTTTGGTCTTTTTTCTCCCCACCTCTTCCTCCCCTCCCCGTTGCTATCCAGTTATCGTTTGTCTTTGTCTCTCCGTTTCCTCTCTCTGTTCGTTTCCTCTTGTATAGTTTGCTTCTCTGATGTTGAGTGGGAGACACTTTAATTTGATTTGCTGGGGACGGCTGGCCTCTAATTCTGAATGACTTCCACTTGTCAATGCTGACATCATATGCTGTGTGCTGTGACTACTTCCTCCCCTCCTGTACAGATGTTTGGTAAGATAGCACTGCGGGACCCCACGCAGATCAACAGGAACAACAATTTCCAGACATTCCCTCAGGCAGTGCTGCTGCTCTTCAGGTGAGGAAGATTACTACGGCCCTCCACGTGAATACTTTCTGCCTTTTCCCATATTTTTCTCCCTCATCTTTCCTAATTTCTTCCCTCATGGATGCAAATTTTCTTCTCACTCTGCATTCACGTTCTTCTCCCTTTTCTATCAATAACTCTTGCTTTTTTTTATCTCCAAAATTTTGCATAATCACTGACATTTTATGACAGCAGTGGGTTAATTCAAGGCCAGGACGTCTGTAAATGTCGAGCTGTAAATGTATCCAACTGTGCACAAGAACCGGTGTGAGAAAATGTTTTGTCAGTTTTTACTGTGCTGCCCTGAAACTGCCCACATTCAGAGACTTTAATCAAAGCTATAAAGCTGTAGATATTAAACATTGATCCCTTTAATATTACGGTTCGACGCTGGTTTACCACAAAATGTTCTGATCCACTGAGGAGTTCTGTCAGAGGAGTCCACTGATAATACATTTAACTGTCTGGATCCACAGCCAGAAACTTCTCTGTCCTGTGTGGTTGCGATGATGGTAAGATTCCATGCAGGGGGATGAAAACCTTCAAAAAAGTACCGTTTCTATCTGTTCATGTTCTGGACAAACCCCTACATGGAATATATCAAAGGATTGGGCTTCCATTCAGAGAGGCAGTGTACTTGGATACTTCATATTTGCTATTCCAAAGTGAGGAAATCAGCGATCAATCCCTCAGTTTGATTAAGGAGTTTACTTTAGATCTAGCAAACAGGCAAAACCCCACCGAAATTGCTGGCAAAACAGCAGCTGCAGTGTGAATAAGCTTAATTGCGATGAAGTATTCAGAATGGAAGACAGCTGTAGTTTGATGCAAGAAAAAGCCCAAAAATCTGAATTATTTGCTACGTAAATTCATTGTTTCAGGACATAATAGCCTTTGCATAATTGCTTTTTATACAGTTCACACTCTAATAATTGTGCCTATGTGTGTGCGTGTCTTCCTCTTTTTGTCTTTGCAATTATTCGTGCGTGTGTGTGTGTGTGTGTGTGTGTGTCACTACATGCTTGTATGCTTGTACGCATACACACACACATGTATGCATTTGTATGTGTGTGTATATTCGTGCCTCTGTGCCTTTCTTTCTTTCGTGTACTTGTACATGCATGTGTCTTTGCACGCATCTGCGTTGATGTGTGTGCATATTTGTGCGGGTGTATGCATGCGACTGTCTATCAGATGTGCGACAGGTGAGGCATGGCAGGAGATCATGCTGGCGTGTTCGCCCAATCGACCGTGCGAGAAAGGTTCGACCAATGAGAACAGCACGACCAACGAGGACTGCGGCAGCCAGTTTGCCATCATTTACTTTGTCAGCTTCTACATGCTCTGTGCCTTTCTGGTGAGTGCAGAGACGTGACAAGAAATGTGTGGCTTTTAAATGTGAATATTCAATGCGATTATGTAATCACAAATAATTCATTACAATTAGAGGAAGTGTCTCATCTAGCTCTCAACAAAAAGCAGTTAATTATATTCCCCAAAGGTGCCAATTGTTTTGTTTTTTTTGAAAACTACTTTACAATTTCTGTTCAAGTCTACATCAAATGGGGCTAATTTGAATTATGAATTACAGTGTGATCGTATAGCGCCTGACTGAGTCCTGACTTTCCCCCCAGATCATCAACCTGTTTGTGGCTGTCATCATGGACAACTTCGACTACCTGACGCGCGATTGGTCGATCCTGGGGCCGCATCATCTTGATGAGTTCAAGAGGATCTGGGCTGAATATGACCCAGAAGCTAAGTGAGTTTACAGAGAGCTGACAAACTGTGCCATCAGAATATAATGAGGCTGTCATCAGCAGAGGATCTGTCAAGATTGTCAATAACGTGACAACTGTGCTGTTTTCAGAGGGAGGATAAAGCACCTCGATGTGGTGACTCTGCTCCGGAGAATCCAGCCTCCCCTCGGCTTCGGAAAGCTCTGTCCACACAGGGTGGCTTGCAAGGTAAACACACTGACACAGTCTCACAAATCTAGAGCTTCTGGAATATTTCAAAAGGCTTTTAAATTCAAGTGTTTTGAGTGTATTCTCCTATTATTTTTGGGGCTTGTACCAAGAAGAAAGTAACAAATAAACAACTAGATGCTCATGGTTGTAGCAAAGGGGATTTTGATTTTAAGGGAAAATTAGGTTTTTGTCACAAAATTAATAAGGATTGGAGGGCTGTGAATGCTACTCTTAAAAATATCCTACACTAACAACAACAACAAAAAACTAATTAATACTATGCACTTCTTTTCCTGCACTCACACGCCAATCAAAAGTTACAGATGAGAGTAGCATCTCAAAAACCTGGTTTCTAATATTTAAAATGTATTTATATTCAATGTAATTTACCCGGCCCAGCCTCCAGTGACACAACAAGTGTGTCTTACATGTACAAACCCTCTGATCTGTGATCAACAAAGGTCAAGAATCACAAACAAAGAGCTGCAGCAGTGAGACAAAACCAGAAAAAGTTAATCAACCTTAACGTAGAAAGTAGCGCAGCAGCACTACAGGTTAAAACTGTCTGTTTACAATGAGTGATAAATATATACAAATCACTATGTTGTTGTTGTATTAATGTGATGACATATGGACAGCTTATAACACCTTCCACAATGACTCAAATGGCACACTGACAACAAATCGTACATTTAGAGGAAATATCTCTTAAGATCTCCCTAAAGGGAAATTAGTGTACGTAGTGTCAAACTACTGTTTTTATTTTTAACAAACCGCCAGCTGCCAGTGTCTGTTGGCAGCTGTTTATTAATATAATTGCCCATTGCTCTGTGTGTGTGTGTGTGTTGTGTCTCATGTAGCGTCTGGTGTCGATGAACATGCCTCTGAACAGCGACGGAACAGTGATGTTCAACGCCACGCTGTTTGCTCTGGTCAGAACCGCACTCAGGATCAAGACTGAAGGTGACAGACACACACAAGAAAAACACTAAAACAAGCCTCACAAATACACAATGACAGGCACATTGTTATATAGATACAGAGAGCATAAGATGGGAATGACTTGATCTCGTTATGATCAGCTTTTGATCTTTATTTGCTCGGTATCGCTTTTTCAATTTTGCCACCCAGATTTTTCCCTCCAGGGTCAAACTGGTGACATTTTATTCATAAGACTGTTTCTCAAAAGTTGGGACTTGGGGTTATGATTCAGATTGGTGCACTTTTTCTCCTAATACAGATTAGTCACCTGATTATTAAAGCTAAGGCCTTTCACTGGACCTGCCTCACCTGATCTGGCTGCTGTCTGTTCTGTTATATCAGCCAAAACTTCTTTTGTCGTGAAAATATTTTACTTACCAATGACACAAAAGACACAAAAAATAATCGAGCAAATCCTTAGATTCAGTGTTAAATGTACAAACAGTGTATTGTCTTGTAGATACAAATAACAGAGGCTGTGTTGAGGCTTTTCAAACATAACTGTGAAAATACTGCTTTGACTGTGTGCAGGCAACCTGGAGCAGGCTAATGAGGAGCTGAGGGCAATAGTGAAGAAGATCTGGAAGAGAACCAGCATGAAGCTACTGGATCAAGTAGTGCCTCCTGCTGGTGGTGCGTGTCCTCTGCAACACAACTTTATATGCGCTAATATCGACAACACTTGCAACAGTCATTATTCTACACACTGTGATTTGCTTTTGTTGCGTCACTTACAACAGATTTTCTGAAAAATACTCAAAATTTGAAGCAACAACCTATTTAAATGACAATATTTACATTTTTTGCAGATGATGAGGTAACGGTCGGAAAGTTCTACGCCACCTTCCTCATCCAGGAATATTTCCGCAAGTTCAAGAAGAGGAAAGAACAAGGGCTGGTGGCCAAGGTGCCCCCGAAAACTGCTCTCTCTCTGCAGGTACACTCTGCAGTTTTGTTTATACTTCCCTAAAGAAGTGGAAATATCGTGTATATAGTAGCCTTCTTTGGTATGAATGAACTATCAGTAAGTAAAAGTAAGCTGATGGTGTTTGGTCTGTGTGTAGGCGGGCCTGCGGACATTGCATGACATTGGTCCAGAGATTAGGAGGGCCATCTCTGGAGACCTGACAGTGGAGGAGGAGCTGGATAAAGGCCTGAAGGAGCCTGTGTCGGCGGCATCTGAGGACGATATCTTCAGGGTAAAGGTTGGATACACACACTTTCACTCACTCTCCAGAGAGAGAGCAAGAGAGAGATGATCAGCGCCAGCTTGAAGCCTTATTACTGCTCCATGCACATAACACATACATGCCTGCATGAGTCGAAAAGACATTTTTTACAAGGCCTCATTTTCCACCACATAGCTTGGCTGCAAATTACTGCAGATTCAAAACTACATTTGGTCAGCTGGGTTTTGAACAGACTTCCTGTGAACACAAATCATAAAACACTGTTTAATTTTACAGGTAAAATCATAAAATAAACAACATAACCTGAACAACTTGATCACTGGAACTGCAAGCCTCATACACATATGCACACACACACACACCACACACTCCACCACACACACACACACAAAGTGTCTTCTACTTCTACTGCTAAGTGGGTGAGTTATGCCAGTTGTCAGCCTTCCATTTTCACTACCATTGCAACGTTCATATGCTGTGCTTCATTTGCTGCAGCATTTTATTACATTTGCCGACAGTGTGTAACACATAAAGTGGTTCTACGTGTATTTAAGCAACAATAGCTAACTGGACGTGAAATCCCTGTTCTGATACCTAATATTAGGCAATATTGAGATTTTTGATGATATTTTAGTGCCTTGTTCATTCAGTCACACCATTCTGCTCCCATGTCAAGGATTTAATCACTTAAAAACGTTGTCATGTTTTTTAGACTGCAATGTAAATGACACTTCTTGCTTGGTGACAAAAAGCCTTTGCTTTGCATTTCCATCATGGCTGAGCAAAGTTTTAATGCTGCTAGCAGTGAATGTGACAGTAGTCGCTATGACGTTTGAGCTGAATGTTGTGTGCAATAAGATATGAAGATATTTGAGCTTCAGCTTCATTTGAACTCTTTCCTCTTTGTCATGTCCTTTTCTCTTCTCACCCCTCTTTTCTGTCTCTCCATGTTTCTTTCTCTCCTTTGTCTTTCTTTGTCTTCACCCACCACAGCGTACAGGCGGGTTGTTTGGCAACCACGTCAACTACTACAACCAGAGCGACGGCCGTAGCTCCTTCCCACAGTCCTTCACCACCCAGCGTCCCTTGCATATCAGCCAGAAAGGCTCACCTTGCGAAGGCGAGAGTCCGTCTCATGAGAAGCTCATGGACTCCACCACTTTCACCCCTTCCTCTTACTCCTCATCAGGCTCCAACGCCAACATCAACAACGCCAACAACACTGGCATGGCCGGGGTGACGGCGCAGGGCATCAGTCGATTCCCAAGCCCGTCCATAAGCACTGTGGACGGGCACACGGGGCAGCCGCTCACCCCCATCCTGCTGCCAAGATCTGCATGGTGCTTTCCTCCAAAGAGGTGAGTGCAGGCTAGACGCCATCTTACATCTGTATCTTAACAAGTGTTACACATACATACACTATATGTAAGTGTTGTTTTGGAGTTGACTTATTGTGCTTTGGACAGAGGCAAGATTTTTTCTCTTTCACTTCCGGGCCATCATAACAAACATTTAGTTAACAGATTTACCAGAATGACACTTGGGTGATGACTCTACTATTTCACTTCACTTTCTTTATACTACCTGCTTTCTTTCCCTGTCTTTTGTTTCTGGTGGCAAGCAGGACGTGTTTTTATGACACCCTTATGCGGTATGTTGCCAGGAGACAGAGAGAAAGAGTGTGTGTGTGTGTGTGTGTGTGTGTGTGTTCTGTTTCTCCCCTAAGTGCGCGCAAAAAGATTTCATGATGCTATATAAAATAGCATAACTGTCAAGGTGCTATAGCGACACTTGTTGCTATGCACATCAAGCTTTAGTTGCTATAGCAAAAAGCCAGGCTACATGCTGCTACTACACAATCAGCTACCAAAGCCACAGACAGACTGTTGGTGCGGCCAGAGGCTTTTGTTGCTTTTGTTGCGTTGTACTGTATTTTATGGCAGGTCTGGGTTAGACACAATGTCAGTTTTGTCCCTTATCTGAATAGAAATTGAATATTTAAATACTTACCTGCTATTTCGAGTCCAATAGCTCCGTAAATTTGGAGTACAATTGTGGTAAATGTAGTTCAAATGCAACTCACTGTTGATCTATTCAACACAGAGCAACAGCTTGACAACTACAAACAATGTTTCAATGAAATTTCACTTATATGTTTTTAAATTTGTGTCTACCAACACTTCTTAAGCTATCATACAAATCCGAATGCAAACTTTGGTCCCAAAATATCAGATTACTGTGGAATTCACTGAGTGCATACATACTTACTTTAATGACTGCATGACTTCCTGCTTGCACAGCCTCTTTAAGAATAGCAAAGTTATTACCCTTTTTATTTATTCCTTTCATGTTCTTTCTCTATTAGGGGTTTTAATAAATATTGCAGCTTCTTTAAACTTTACTTATGTTTACAAATTGTGTTCGCCAGCATCCATGCACTATGATCCACTGAAGACTGAGTGCCTAAATAAAAGTTAAAGATGGAGTTGCACTGATTCACTTTGCCTACTTAGAGGCACTAAGTGAACTAGAATTAAGAGCTCCATTACAGGGATGCACTATCTCTTTGGATTTGATCGATTAAGAGACAGGTTAACCTCCATGCAGGCTTGTTCAAAGTCAACAGTCTCAGTCAGGTTTTAATTAAATGCTGTTCTAACCCAGAGTTTGCTGTGGAACCTTTAAATAGCTGATTACATGGGCATCATGGCATTTTGAATTTTGTTTAGTTTTCTTCACCAGTCTGTTCTTAGGAGAAGTTTATGTACCTCTGCCGGAAATAATTAAAGAATAGTTAGTGTATTTGTAAGGGTTCATCATTAAAAATAATGGGTGCTGCAGAGCAGGCAGTGGGTTTTGACTTTTAATTTGAAACATAACTGTAGACAGATGTGTTTTTTTTTCTAAGCTGACATGTTGCAGCTTTTAAACGAACAATCTGGTGATGAAGAAAAGATTAAAATTCAAATGTCAGGATGTTTCCTTAAAGCTTTAGTCTGGGGTATGAAATAGATGTGACTGAAGGGAAGACATCTTTGAGAAACAAAGAGGATATAACATGACACAGGGTTGGGTACGGTTTTGCTTTTACCCTGTTAACCCAAAGCAGTTTTGGGAATTTTTTTTGGTCCCAATACATGTATTTTTTACTGGGGACTCATGTTTCACTGGAACACAAAGTCCTGAACCTCTATGGAAACGATACAACCACGGCTAGAGAGTAGAGAACTCAAAAATGTCTTCTGTGCAGCTTAACACAATTAGAATGCCATTAAGGCTAAAACAGGAAAACACTAACATGGAAATTTTTTATTTTATTTATGGAGAAACCCTGAAATCAACATATACAATATATTCCAAGTGTCCACAAGTGTTAGCAATACTGGGGGGAAATTGCTCTACATGCTATTGATTGATTTTACTGCTTACATTTTAAATTTGTTTCCACACATCCTGCATTTCAGCTAAGAAGTCCCAGAATTTTTTTTCTCCGTGACAGTTAGTTGTAGCTGAGGCACTCATGGTGTCACAGTTGTGCAGAGGAGTGCAGAAATTTCTCTTTTTCACAGGATGTGGTCAGTGAAGATGGTTCACATTTGAAGAATGTAAACAAGATGTGCGAAATAGAGCAATACTGGTGAAATATCACAATTTTAAGCTTAGATTTACAATGAAGCAGTACGTCACAAAGGAGTAGTTCAACAACCTAAAGCTGAAAATCTGTCAAGTCGTTCTATTTTTTTACAGTTTCTAGTTCTGATAAATGGTGTAGTTTAGGTGAATTTTTCAAAGATTAAATTTAAACCCTTCACTGGGTTTAGGGCTTCAGTGATAGAACTTTCTTGTCTTCACTTCCACTTCCAAACAGGTGAACAGAAAAAAACTGACAGCCTTTGATTCTTTATTGACCTTCACTTGGAGTGATGACAACAGCATAAAAAGTACCTGCTTAATTTCCCTGCGGGCCTACATTAAAATACTGCTCTCTGAGGGTTAGTGAGCAACATTACCTGATGCAATCCCTCAATAATGTCTTTGCTTTTCAAAGATGTCTGAACTTCAGTCTTGCTCTTATTTATCATATTCCAGGTGTTGCCTTTAATGCTATTCACCATTTTGCTTCAACAATATAGCTGTAATTCCCACCCGCTTCTCCTCAGACGTTTTCTTCTTCTCCTCCTTCCTTTTCCTACATGCAGTAGTTAAGCCTCTGTGGGTTTCTCGCTCTCCTCCTTCTTCTCCTCCTCCTCTTCCTCTTCCTCCTCCTCCTCCTCCTAAGCTCCTTTCTGAGTTTTTTGCTAATCAGCTGCTTTTTTTTCCCCCTGTGTGTTTACATCTGTTTGCATATTTGTCCCCATGTTTTTCCATCTGTGGTGTGCGTTTATGTTCATTTTGTGTCTTTGTCTGTCTGTTCGCTTGTTTGGTCGTTTTTGCCTGTTTGTCTGTTTGTAGCTCGGACTCGAGTGACAGCCGCCTGCCAATCATCCGAAGAGGGGAGGGGTCCACGGAGGAGACGTACGATGAGAGCTATGCAGACGACAGGGAGTACCACGAGGACGACCACTCGCTCTCCTCCGACATGTACTGCCGAGTTAAACATTCACGCTTTAATCTGAAAGTTTTATCAGTTCACGAGGTTTGACTGTTTCTTTGTGTGCGCTTGTTAGGCTGGTGTATCACGATGATACCTGTAAGCAGCTGACTCCCATGGAGGATGCAGAGGAGGTAGAGGACAGAAGAGGAGGAGGAGGAGGGTGGCAGTCTCCCAGGAGAGTCTTCCTCTGCCCCACTTCTCTGGGTGAGCGGACACGCATGCACGGATAAAATGTGAACACGCTGCTCACTTTTAAACTGTATTTTTGCATTCTGTTTATTTGTGGTGTCAGGGCGGAGATCGTCCTTCCATCTGGAGTGTCTCCGGAGACGATCGGGGCCAGATGTCTCCCAGAAGACAGCTGTACCCTTACATCTTGTACATCATCAGGTAGTAGACTCCCACATGGTAATCTTACACTTAAAAGCACATTTGTAAAGTCAATTTAAATACAGGATGTGGAGTTGAAACCCCAGCTCTGTTCTGCAGACATAATCCTCTCCCTGTGCTGTCTCCTCTTCCTCCAGGCTCTGGCAGTGGCAGGGCTGAGTCCTCTGCTAAGAAGGAGTCACTCACCGACCCTCTTCAGTCGGCTGTGCTCCACGCCTCCAGCCAGTCCCACAGGTACAACCGCATCCTGTGCTCGCTTCAAAGGCCAAAACGCTGTTTGTCAAGTGCTGCGAAATAAAATTGGATCCCATTTCCTCAGGAAGCACAATTACACCTGAATTTAATGAGCAAGAAAAACATGTCACTGAAACCAGAAGAGAGAACTGTGAAGGACGTGTTTCTGTCGCATCACAGCTTCCACATTGAGATAGGTTTCTTCTTCTCACTGCTGCTTCTGCCGTCTTTGCTTTTTCAGGCCAATGCAGTGATGCCTCCTATCAGCGAGTTCCCTCTCTGAGGTTAGAGGGCTCCAACTCCCATGAAAAGCTCAATACCAGCTTGCCCTCTGTCAACTGTGGGCCCTGGTAAGACTAAGTGCCTCTAAAAATAGCTGCTAGTTCACAGTTTGGCACAATAATGCATTTATTAATCTGATGCCTTGCCTCTAGGTACAGCGACAGTAATGGGAACAGCCGGGTGCCCAGTCCTAGCCCCACCCCTAGCGTGTCAGCGTCTAGTCAAAGAGCACCACGGCCGGTGTCGCTCACAGTGCCCTCGCTACTGGGAAAAGACTCCAGCTCGCTGTCTCACGGCAGTGCAGGAAGTCTGGTGGAGGCGGTGAGTGTGTGTACATGTATATGTGTGTGTACGGTTGGTTATTCTGTGGCCCTTTTCAGACATGGACTCCTTTCTGTTAATCTGACAGCAACTGAACACCTTTGTGAATGAACGAGCACCCTGGTCACTTTTCTGTAAACGTTGCAATCTTGTTCAATCGGACCCATTTATATATCACAATCACATTAAAGAAAAAGCACACACACACACACACACACACACAACCAGAGTTACACCAAGTTGTGTGAGGCGATTTAGGGGAAGATTTTTCCACATTTCATTTTGGTCCAAAGACAGCCAAGGACACAGTTTGTGTGCCAACATCCCAACACCCTTTTCTCATTCATTTTGCTCCACAGTTTCACATCCGTTAGGCTACAAACTGAAATGTCCATAAAAATAAAACTTTACTGCAATAAATATAGAGACTAACCTTAGATAAATGATGCTCACCAAAATTAAATCGGAAAACAGCAGTTGAGGTTTAGTTTGTTGATTCCCAGGCTATCCAAGGGACTTTTCCACTACTTTTATACTGTCTCTCCCTTTTAATCAGCATCTTAATCTCTCCTCTATTTTGTCTAATTGAAACACTAACAGCTAAATGGACTGTCTCACACACCTGGCAAAGAGAGACTGAATGAGCCAGAGACAAGGAAAATTTACTATTTTCAATTACAATAGCTAACGCAGTAGCTACCCATGCTGACCCCAGTGTCTCCAAAACATTAGAATGATGATCAGACACTTGCACAATTGTGACCATGTGATATTTTGCTCGCATATGTCTGAATAAAGCTGTGAGGAGCATGAAGGTTAAAGTGACGTCCTAATGACAGACCGCCATCGCATTAACAGACTGATGAAGCCAGTAGTGTTGTGTGTCCCATGTCTGAAAAGGGCTTCAGTTCAGCCTGTATTTAGCAACATACCCATAAAACATTAAACCTTACTCTTTGCTCCCACTCCTCTTTTTCCCCATTTTCCTCTCAAGGTGCTAATATCAGAGGGCTTGGGTCACTTCGCCCAGGACCCGTCGTTCATCGAGGCGACTAAAGCCGAGTTGGCCGATGCCTGCGACATGACCATCGAGGAGATGGAGCACGCCGCCAACAACATTCTCAACGGCAACAGCACCACAAACGCCACGTCCAGCACCTCCTCCACCTCTCAGCACAGCCCTAACGGCAACATCCTCCCCTTCCACACAGCAGCAGCAGCAGCAGCAGCAGCAGCAGCAACACACAGGGACCGAGTGCCCAGCTTGAGTCCCAGCGAAGGTGGGGGAGAGTCCACAGGAAGCCGGGGCTCCATCCACGGGCCGTCCTCTATAGAGGAGCGGCAGGAGCTGCTGGCCAGGGGGAGGGCGCGAGACGAGGAGGAGGAGGAGGACGCGGCAGGGAGGGAAGAGGGGTCCCACAGAAGCTCGGTGGTGATCGGAGGAGCGCGACAGAGAAACAGCGGGCTGTTGGAGGACGAGGATATGGAGTGCGTGACGAGTTTGTAGGAGTCAACTCAACGGGTTCAAATCGGCCAACTGGCCCCTCTGACATCATCAGAGACCGACGCTTGTCAGTGCTGCCTCACAGCGCCACGGCTGGATCTGTCTGTCCCCACATCAACTCACACACACACACATGAACACGGTGTCGCTCTGGACGATGGCGGCCAGTGACGCAACCTTAAACACCTGGTTATGACTCTGTTGGTTTCTATGAGTTAGTATGTGTGTGGATGTTTGTAGTAAAGTATACCAGACTGTGTACTCTCTGAGTGTGTGTGTGTCTGCGTGATCTATGATTTTCTCTATTTGTGTGTGTGTGTATGTGTGCGTGTGTGTGTGTGTGTGTTCTCCACACATGTCTGAGTGTGTCTCTAAAGTGCCTCACAGTTTTATCATGTCCTCAAAGTGTGAAGAGCCGAAACGTAGAGACAAGCAGAAAAAGAAAAAGACAAGGGAAGGCGTGAATGAAGAAAAAAGGTAGACGACATAGTGTGTTTAATGTTTTCATTTACTACTTTGGTGTTGTGTTATTGTTGTTTGTCTGGCCGCCATGACCCCAGGTAGGGGACAGCAGAGCAGCTTGTGGAGGGGTCAGTTATGGATTACAATCTGACCGCTCGAGGTCAAAGGTCAACTCCTCCTTCTCGGTTCACTGATGATGATGAAGCGCTGTATTGAGTTAAACAGGGGGTTGAGACAAACCCCTTGTTTGAAATCTCATTTCTCCTCCTCTTCCAAAGCTAAGGAACCTTGGAGCACAGCCCTGCCAGCCTGGGGGTGGGATTAAGGTGACACACCACCCCCAGCCAAGGGGGGGAAGGATTTGAGGGATGGTTCCAACAGCCTCAACGGGGCTGCCACAGGGGGCCACAGGCAGAGAGACACTCTGGCCAACAGGAAGCGAGCCAGCTCTTATTTTATCCGCTGGTCAGTGAGACTCCAGCGAGAGACAAACTCACCTGGTCCGTCACCTGGACCTGGCTCCGCCTCCTCCGCCGCTTTTCCTCGTTTGGCCACTTGCGGCCCCGATTACGAAGCGGGGAGCTGCACCGGGTGGCTAAGCAGAGACAGCGAGCCCCCTTTTCTGCCTCATACCTCGCCGTTCCTCACTCCTTCCTCTATCCTTCCTCCCTCCTCTTTGGTTATTTCGCCATCCCTCTCCCTCCATCGATGGGTTTTCGTTTTGTTTTGTTTTGTTTTTTGTTTTTTTGCTTTTTCAGCCCTCGGGGAGGCGTGCATTTGTCAAACAGGGCAACAGAGATGGCAGGGTGCACGAGAGAACAGGAGTGACCGATTGAAAAGAGAACAGACTCCGAGCATGGATCCGCACAGGGGTCTGCCGTCAATCAACCTCACTTCCTTCTCCGAGACCCTCCTCTTCCTCTCAGCGTGGAGTCCTGTTGGATTTGCTGCCACACACTCTTTCTACAGACCACGCCCACTATGTATTTAACAGTTCAATATTGTGCAAAACTGGCTAGCCATGACTATTTTTTGTTTTATATTCATGATGTTATTGGTTTAATTTATCCTTGATTTGTTTGCACAATCGGGGTGCTGGTCTTATAAATGTATTTTTTGCTCGGTTTATTTTAGGAGAATTTTAAGAGGTTTTAAGTATCGAAGCAGGGCGTAGTGTTTGCGTGCGAGTGCGTAACTATATTTGTGCGTGCGAGGGTGTGCGTCTGCGTTTTAGTACAGGGTGCGTGCGCGTACGAGTGGGAGCGAGATAGTGTGTGTATCTAAAAGGGGGTCTTTCTCTCTATCAGTATGCACCTTTTACAGATTGTATCTATTTATTTATTTATTTTTTCCCAGAAGAGAAAAAAATGTGTGTGAGAGTGTGTGTGTGTGTTTGTGTCCGAGTGGTTAAATGTGTATTCTAAAAAGCTGATTTTAAGCCTAGACAGTAAATTAAGGTAGCATTAAAAAGTATGGTGTGTGTGTGTGAGTGTGTGTATGTGTGTGTGCGTGAGTGATAATGGGCCTCCTTAACACAGGGTTACCATGGACAGGCATGCTTCCAAAGCTTTGTGATTTCTTTAGCACGGTTTTTACTTTTTAGCCAAGCTGCAGAGTCAGAAGCCGCTCTGTCTTGGAAAACTAGTCATCACTTTTTTTTTCTTTTTTTTTTCCTGTTAGGAAAAGGTAGTTAGGGTCTCCACAGTGAAGGATGCATTTACAGTGATGGTGATGATGATGATGATGATAATGATGAGTTTTGGCGTTGCAGCTTGGCCAGAATGTAAGAAGCCTTTTTTGGCGATTGCTGCTTTTCTTATTCACGGTGGAGGGTTGCTCTGAATGGTAGAAGCACCAAATTCATACTGCCACAGTGACGCCTTGTGAATGAACCGGGTTAGGGAGGGAAGGGAATGGGGGGTGGGGGGGGATGTCGCCCCGATCGCTCGGCTGTATTACACCCATCCTGTCATCGTTTAACGGAAGTTTAAACTCCAAACGTACTATTAGGGCTGGTGTACAGATGCTGCAAGACTTCTGAATCACATCTCTTTTGTCTGAGGCTCATATCACAAAACATTCTAATTTATTAGCACTGTTAGAGATAAACCAATTTCCTGTCTGTGATATAATTCTAAACTGGTCGAAATTCATTGCTGGGAAATTATAATGCGAGCAGGAAATTTACTGATGATTGATAAGATATGATAGTTGTTTGGTTAATGTGATAAATGATCGGATATAAATCACGAGAACTGTCGGCTCAGAGGGATGTTGCATGTTGGATGATCTCCTGTGTGATTTTTATTTTTCCTTTTCTTTTTGCTTTTTTTTTCTCTAATGGCTTATAGGTAGCAGCGTGACAGTTTTTGGACTGAACTTTCTCTACTTTAATTGTTCCTTTGGAGTGATAAGGTTACGGCCATAGCCAGGTACGGTATTCAAGCCTCAGTACATTAACACAGGGCACAGGTCTCACTCTGGTATCTTCTCCAAAAAAAACATTCCTTCCATCGTTAGCACCGATTTATTATGTCGCCAACTTTATAGTATTCAAAACTGACATAATTCAATTTATCTCTCTAAAACGTACTGAAAACTTTTGATAAACTCGATTGCTGCTACCACTACGATCCCAATGCAAAGTCAACGAGACATGAGGAGAGTGTTGGAAGTCACTGAACAGAGCTCACGTGTAAATACATTTTGGTGTATCTTGCCAAAACTGAAAATGAGCTTGCAAGAGAGTCCGTTAATTGTTATTTATTAAAACTGGGTAGCAAACCTGACCATGCATTTACACAGAACAGCAGCAGTTCAAAAATACAAAAAAGTTCAGTTTATGTTTGCAAACCTTAACCGCTCTTATTAGTTCAGAGGAAAATTCAAATATTTTTGCAAGAGCCTTCGTGATTTTAGGACACATTCTGTAAATTACCTCAAAAAATCCAACTTTTTTTTTTCACCCCAGAGACACTGTCACACGTCAGCTTATGGTCATTAGTTTTCTCTTTAATTTACCAGCTCTAGTTAATAGATGTTAAGCAGAGCAGGTTTGTGGCAGGGAAGCGTACGCATGAACACACTGCCATACACTGCATCCTGTGCCAGTAACAGACTCCTGTCATTATTATGCAATCTAAATGTGAATGTTGAATATGTTTTTGTGGCAGTGCTATTGTTGTTTTATGGTCACACTGCAAACTCTGAAGAGGAGGCGTCAAAAGGAATAAAGTTCCCCAGGATCCATTGGATTAATTAAAAACATCCTCAGCGTTTCTTTTAGTTGTTCTAAAAGCACATCGTTGAAATGGAGGCTTTTCTATATTAAACTGATTTGGTAGCATAAGCTGAGAGGCCGCTTTGTGGCTCACATCAGTTTGAGTATAAGCTAGTCACAAGTGTAGGCAGGTGTGGGTTTAGTCAGTGGTGCAACTGTGTGTGCAGGGCAGGATTCAGCTTCGGTGTTTTACCCCTAAAACTAACTCACTTTGTGCTTATTTCCACGCTTTGCTGGATTAAAGGCAGTGAGGCTCCTCCTCTCTATCAGGCTCAGTGATAAATGTCATCAGCAGGCACCTGGATTGTAGTTTTTATATCCAAGCTGCTGCAGCAGAGCCGGTGAGCGCATCTGCTTTCAACCAACCAGTTTTATCAGCCATGAATGTTAGTCTCTCAAAGCAGATTAGAACGGTTTAATTGATGATAGTAATTACCTGGAACTGTCCAACACAGAACCACTCGGATGAGGAAAGCTTCCATATGATTACATAATAAAACTGTCCAGTATCATTTCCAGCTCTCTGGGTTAAACTATAACTCCATAAATGTGCTCAGAAGCTGCATTCAGTTCAGATTATTCCTAATAAGTGTTCACTTATATATTCTACACACATGAAGTAACCCTGCATATCAGAAGTGCCAAACCAGGCTTTGCTGTGTGAGTTTTAACATTGGTTTTGGTGAGAGAGATTCAGAGACCTGTGGTGCCCCCGTGTGGAGTGGAGCAGAATTGCAGTTTTTTTATGTTCTTCATAGGCTAGCATGAACTATGAGGCGTCGTGTTGCAGTACAAACGTATGAGTGGGTGTGATCCTGCAACCCACAAGATATGCAAAAACAATGCAATAACTATGACTGTATACAAGGTTCCCGAAGTAAATATGCTTGTGAAAGTGGAAAAAAAAACAAAACAAATCAGTATCATGAAGATGTATTATTTTCTGTTTGTTACATTTTTAAGTCGACTCAGTGGTTTCCATACCAGAAAAAAAAACAACCTAACATACTTGAAATCAGGTACATAGCAGTGCAGTATAGTAAAGATGTATTTATTTATCTTTCTCGTGCCGGAGTGTCGGTCAAAAAAGCTGATTGAGACTGTGACCTGAAGTCAGTGTTTTGCTTGTGGTTTAACATCCAGAGAAAGGAGACGATTGGACGATTCAGCAGCATTCACTTCATCTCCCCGACTCAATACTTTTTGACTGCGTTCCCTTTATCTTGTTCATTTCCAGCTATAGTTTGTAAATGGATTGAGCTCCGTGGGTGTACCATCAGTGTTGCATGAGGTCCTCATGTTGACGTTTTGAGCGTTCCAGGTTTTTTTTTCTCGCAGCCGTTTCGTTTCAATCAGGTATCATATCACATTCTGACAGAGTAGCTTTTTCTATTCGGTGTACATACGGTGATTGAAGTCAGTATTTCTTCTCTAGGTTAACGTTTGACTGGACTGTAGTCAGAGGAGGCATCTGGAAGGTGGTTTTGCATATCTTGTGTCTTATGGGCTCTTGGATT